TTCCAAGCCCTATGAGTGGAGCTGCAAGCCATGAAGATGTCCGGCTGCGTATTTTCTATCATCTTTCCAACTTGTTCCCTGAAGCTCAGGTACGAGCAGTACTAGCCATGTATCCAGAGGAGACAGACCCTCAGAAAATATGTAGCTACATCTTAAGTCCTAACCATGGACCTGTGGGGTCACGGCCTATGTCTCCACAACAGCCATCTCAACCTGGTGTGGGACGGCAGTCACAAGGTGTTCAGGGTTCATCTTCTCCAACAGCTGCTTTTCCAAGCTCTCTTCCTACTACAGCATCCAGCCATGAGGATGCACGCTTTCGTACGTTCTACCATTAGTTTTAATTTTTTTCCAAAAGCTCAAGTGCATACTGACCTGGCCATGTGTCCTAGTAAAATTAAGGACTAGATGTATGCCACCTTAGTAAGGTCTGGTAAATATCAGTCCCCAGACTTTGCACAAAGTACCTAAAAATTGATGTATTGCATCAGGCACATAATTATAGCATATCATTATATGTAATTTTGAAACAAACATATGGTTCAGTTTGCTTTATACAAATTGGCAAGGAAAAGGGAAAAATCTAAGACATTGATGTAATGTTTATTAAAAAGTGTGATGTTTAGTGAAATATGAAAGTAAGCGTTAGTGAGGCTGATAGTATTATTGCACATATTGGGACATATACGAGTGTACAGTTAATTAGTTCCATTGGAACCCTATCTAGGGCATGAATTGTGTTCTGGGGGAAATGAAACCTTCTAAATGGACAGGAGAAAGGTGAGAAGTAACTAAATGGGTTTTCAGTATTGGCTTGCCAAAGCTATTGCGTTTGTGGAAGCATTTATTAGAGCACATAATGTTTTTACCTTGCCTGTGGATAGTGACTGTGAGGTCAGTTTGACAGTAGTCAATATTTTACCTAGGTACTAGCACTGCAGCGATTGCTACACTTTAGTTCAGGATGACAAGCTTCGGTTATGGTTTTTCTGTTCTTTTAAGTGTAAATGGACAGACACAGGAACTTGGCACGAGTCCTATATTTCAATCAAAAGGTCAATAGATTGGCAAAGAAATTAGTCTGTTCTCATGTTAATCATATTAAATCATGTAGTTTAAAAGCAGGACTCAACAGCCTATGTTAGAGTGTGCCATAAGCTGCAATGGCTCCCAGTGGACAAAGCAATGTACTAGTTGGTTATAATATGCTGGTGCTATACTGGCTATAGTGTGAGAGGCTCGTACCACTAGTTATATGAAACGATTTGCTCAGCATCTAGATACTGATAGTATTCTTAAATGAAAGAATTGTCAGGGAATCTTAAGAAAGGGAATATAGAATGATACTGCAACAAGAGAAATGTTGTCCCGCAAGTACTTTGTACTTATTATTGACAGTGATAATGTTCTGGAGAGCTGCAAGACTTAGTCATTGAGAGTAACCAATAGGATGAGTGAGTTGGCACAAACCTATCAGGTGGAACAGATTATTTTTGTTATGAACATATAATGTTTCTATTATTACATAATATTTGAAAAGGGTTTTGTTATTTTGCTGCCCTTTATCTCTCCCTTGATGCAACAACTGTGTGTATGTGTGTATTGGAAGCCACCAGAAAGTGTGACATCTGAATAAGGTTTGCATTTGTGATGTGTGATCACCTCAGGTTCGCATGTTTATGGATACATTAGATCCATTTGTGAATTAGATTGAGGTTGGTATGTAACAAACCTTGCAGAATCACACTTTTAATGATGGCTGGAGTGAAGCGTGTCATTACAATACTATGTATTGTGGGCTGTACTGGGTGTGTACCCAACCATTGTGTGGCTGCACCCTATTGCTGCCCTTAAGTCTCCAGGCTTAGATAGAGCTACAACATAGGTGCTGCCTCATTGTTCATTCTTCCAGTAGTGTGAGTGTGCCAGTAAAGTTGAGGTTTTACACCGTGTTTAGTTCTTATCTAGTTCTCATTGTGGCTATGTGGTGACATAAGGAATGTAATGGGTGCAGCTAGACCGCTACTTAGCGGTAACTGTGTAGCTCATATTGATCTTGAGGGCCTACCACACCTCGACATTGGCTTCTCAATTGTTTTGAAGAGCCTTTGTAATGTTCTACAAATTTCATTAATTATATTTTTGCATTAGCCCATTAATTATAGTGGAAGTGTGCCACAGTTTTCAGGTATATATGTAAAAGAAAGAAATAATGAAAATTATTATTAGTGATGGCAATCTTTTGCACAATAACATATTGGTCATTATTTTGGTATTTATTTTGTAGGTCAATTATGTAGTGAGGTGTAAGGCTGTTAAATACACCTTTTTATGTCTAGGAGGTGGCCCTCTCTTGGCTTTTCACACTGACCTTCCTACACTCTCAATAAAAAGAAAGTTGAAGTGGCTTTGTTTTATTAAGATAAAACAAAATTAATTGTTTTCCTGTAACAAAAAATATTGTATATTGTTTATATAGCACAGCTATTGCAGAAATACT